TTCAGTTTAGCAGTTTAAAGAAATTCCGTTACCTCAGAAGACGAGAAAGGACAGATGAGAATGACCTTGAGAGGCCTGGGCATTGGTGGAAATCTTAGTTCTCCACTTCCTATTTGTGGCCTGACTGTGGCGACTTGCTAAGTCCCTCCAGAGCTCAAGTTTCTCCTTTGGCAGCATGGGAACGTTTAGCAGATAGATCCCAGTGCGGGAATCGTTTTGACCGTGTAGAATATTTTCATCCTAGGTTCTTAGATGGTAGCTAACCCTGCTGCTAGGGCTGACAAGGTTGGCAGCTCTTGTTTCACTTTCTGTGGATTTATTTTAGAGGCGACCCTCCTCCCCCCACGCAAATGTTGAGTGTGTTCCTTGAAATTTTCAAAGCGAGTGGGAAAACCCACCAAAAGTTATGAACCACCTTCCTGGGGGTCTAGCTGTTGTGATTTATTTAAAGGCTATGACACTGTGGGATTCTAGGCAACACTGACTCTAAATAAAACATGCTTGCTGTTTGTGATAAATGTCATGCACTACATCATGCTATTATTACCGTGGTTCCAAAACTCATGGGAGCTGTTTGGGATACCATAGGCATCCAAGTTGGGTTTATCCAGTTCTCTGTTTTATACGCTGTCCCTGTCAGGTGCCATGATGTCTGCCCTGGAAGTAGAAACACCTGTTCTTTCTGTGCCATTTTGTAAATATAGCCTGTGGCTTTCTGCCTCTCCTTTCTCCCTTGTCGTGAGGTGGTTGAGGGCGGCAGACCTGCTCTGGGGAGGGGACACTATGCTGCCACACTGTGTGCCTGCCGTCTTTTCCTTATTGCAAGGTGATGATCTTGACTTTGCCCTTATGCTGAAAGGGCAGCACCATTTAGATACTTGAAAACTTTAGTGATTCATACTAGGAAGAATGAATCATTTTAGTGGGTCTCTTCACACAGGACATATGAACGTATTTCAGACAGAATGGTTTTAAATGTAGAAACGAATAAAAGTGCCCTAAATATATACCTGACTAGAGAAGGCTTTTCCTGGGAACACAGGTGTAATAGGAAAGATTAATAATGATGACCACACATGATTTGAGCTTTGTTTGGTAAAAATAGACATTACAACGCTTGTTCTTTGTAGCTTCTTGAAAATGAGCAAGACAGAGCAGAGCCATCACAATAGTGGACGTTATATGGGCCTATTGTCTAAGACAACTCTATCAAGTCCTCATTGCATATTTTTGACTGAAAAAAAAAGTCAGTGTGTAAAATTCATGAGGAACCAAATAAGACCCCAAAAAGATCCAAAAACAATCTTGTGAGGGAAAACAAAGCTGGAAACATCATAACTCTTGTTTTCCAGTCTATAGGTTTGTAAATAAAAGATAGTGTGCTGGCGCAAAGTTAAATACAGAGACCAATGCCATGGAACAGTCCAGAAGTAAACCCATGGACATACAGTCCACTGAGCTTTGACAACACTTCCAAAAATGCCCAGTGGGAGAACTACAGTGTGAGGAGAACCAGATGTCTATGGCCAAAGTAAATCTTGCCTCATACACAGGAAACAACTCAAAATGCATTAAAAGAAGACTTGAAACTGAAAAACTCTTAGGAAATGAAAGAAGGCATTCATGGCTTTGTCGCTGGTCGTGGTTTCTTGACTTGATACCAGAAACATAAGACAAGCAAACCTGGACAAGTGAGACGATGCCAAACGCAAACCTCTGCAGATCACGGGAGACAGACAGACAGACAGTAGCATGGTTGGTGGCCTGCAAGACGGAAGGGACTGCCTGCAAGCCATATGCCTAATGAGGGCTGCTCTATCAAAGTGAAATGCAGCATCATCCCCAGTAACTTGGGTGTAAGACCAGCTTGAATGTCTATTTAGAGAAAAAATATATGTCCATACAATGGAATGCTATTCACAGTGCCTGCAAAGGAAATGATGCTGAGGAGATGGCTCAGCATCTGTAGCATCTGTAGTCTGAGCACTCTCATGGGGAGATGGGAAGCGAGATAGAAGAATCTCTGCAACCTCGTGGCTCAGGTAGCCTGGCACACCCAGCAGAAAGAAAAAACCTGGCTCAAACAACGGATGTCAAAGACTGACCTTTGAGGGTTGTCCTCTGCCCTTGCCGTGCACACCGTGGCCCGTGCATCATTCCCAGGCACCAATGCACAGGCGTACAGTGCACAGAAGAGGTGGGAAGTCTTGCTGACTTTGCTGACATTCAGTATCTAAGTAGTCGGCATCGTAGCAGGAAAAGGTGTAATGGCTTCTGGGCACTGGCAGGTGCTTGCCAAAAAAATGGGAAGTTGCTGTTAGATTCAGTTATGAAAGGTTAAGGTATTGTTACAACACATGTAGTTATGGCATTGTTAAGATGCGTTTAAAATTTGTGGAGGGTAGATTTTGTGTTCTTGCTACAGTAATAGAAGATGCACACAAACAACTTAGACTGGGAAAAAATATGTACAGTCAAGAAACACAAAAAAGAATGTTAGCTGACTTAGAACTGTGCACTTTCCGCTTGGCCTGTTTTTTTTTTTTTCTTCTTTATGCGATTATCTAGTCGATGACGAATAAAGAATAGGATGTACACACTGCACAAGAGTGTAGATTTAGGAGCCATTGCATAGAGCACAGCCTGAGGGCATACATGACCAGAATGCGCCTAGGACAAGACTTTCTTTTTTATTGCTTTTCAGGATTCTTTAAAATGGGGGTAGTGGGGTGGGGAGGAATGAAGTCTATGGAGATGGTTCAGCAGTTAAGAAATTTGCTGTTCAAAAAACAAAGTCCCCCCCAAAACAAACCCCAAACCGCATCACAACAAAAGTCAACTAAAGTTTAATCCTTATAAATTGTTCCATCTTAAGTACCAAACTTTGCTTTTCCTGTCCTCTTGGCCGAGATTTTTGCGGATCCTTTAAAACACCCCGCACCTTTTTCCTTTGCACTCATGCTAGCTGGCCACCAGGGGGCAGGGGATGTTTGGGAAAGAATTGAAACTGAGCAGTTTGAGCTTGTTATGAGCAGACTTGGACTCTTGTATGCAGGCGTTTTATATGGGGGCATTTTACAAACAGCTACATTTGACTTGGGCTTTCCTTTCCATTGACATTATTTCTTTTATTTCAGGTTCTTGCTGCTTTTAGGGGGAGGGGCTAATGGTTCATGTGTGGGGGTAGCTTCATGCTAGTGTACTTCAAGTCACTTTGTCCTATTTTGTGTGTACAGGTGCTTTGCTTGCACACATGACTGTGCTCGAGATGCACAAATGATGTCTGAAAAATGCCAGAGAAGGCCTTGGATCCCTTGGGACTGGAGTTACAAACATTTCTGAGCTGCCATGTGGGTGCTGGGAACTGAACATGGGTCCTTTGGAGGAGCAGACATTTCTCCAGTTTCTTTTTAAAATAAAATGTTCAACGACTATAACTAATTGATGAGTAGGTTGCTTGTGTCGTCCTTTGGGTGGTGTATGCTAATGGATTTTCCTTTGACAGGATAGTTTAGCGCTTTCTGTTAACAATCTCCCCCAAACCAAACCCACCCAGAAACAAAAACAAACAAAACCACATCCTTGACTATATGGATGGTGTTATATCTATTTGTAATAATAATATTCATCATTCAGTTTATAATTTTGATGATCACTGATATCTTGGGTTTTTTGAAACATGTTTTTTATGATAGCAATATTTTTTAAATATACAGAATTTGGGGAAAGGGTTTAGACTTTTAAAAAATAATAACATGTGATATAACACAGGTAAAATGCCAATTAAAGGTCTGGTTCTTTGACCCTAAGTCCTTGGTGATTGGTTCTTCTGTTGCCATGGACATGGTTCACTTAGGAGATTGATGGGGTGTAGGTGTGTTCGTTCATCCCCACAGGGACCCTCTGGGGGTTACTGGTTTTGCTGACGTCCTCTGACGTGATGGGGTGTGGGGTACAAGTGAGGAGAATGAGTCTTGCTAGTCTCCCTTCCTCTTCTCCTTTGTCGTCCTCAACTCCCAGATGCTGTAGGAAGGACTTTTAAAAGGATAATTGCTTCTTGTCAGTTTCAACAGCATTTAATGAGTGGCTTAGGGTTTAAGTTTTCTGTCTTATTTACTTATTCTTCGGAACAGACCTGATACAGAACCTGCACTAACCTTTCACGTTTTGTGAGGTCCTTAACCGGTGAGAACGAGCGCTTCTGCCTTGACAACCTGTCCTTGGCTAACAAGGCAGGTTCTTTGCGAAAGATTGAAAGTGGTTATTGCTTGGAGGTTTCGATTTGTTTGCTTGCTTTTAATCCAAGCAGTCAGGTTTACATATAACTTTATAGGTAAAATGCCTGGAAAAGGCACAGCGGTGATGTGTGAACCTGTGCCACTGAGAAAGTCGAGTCAGTTCACAAATTGTTTTAATGAACATCTTATTCTGTTTTGCCTAGTTAATAAACAGACGTTAGGCACACGAGGCAGTTAATTTCCCTTAACCCTGCTCCAAGAGTGGCTGGATCTGCGACATCATTGGCTGTTACATAAAGCTCCTGAGACCACCCACTTTCTCCTCCCCTTTCTCATCCCTGATGGGAACCACAACAACCCATGGCATGTACAGTGTGATGTAACTCAGGCTGCTTGCTTCCGGACCTGCTCCTCACAGCTCTTGCTCAGACGCAGGGCATTGTTTTTAGCTACATCTGGGAGTGCAAACGGAAGCCTGAAGCCCCGGGATAAGGAGCTCTGGCTTTCTTTCTCCTCTGGGTGGCCTGACCTGAGCAATGTAGGCGTGTTTTTCTTTGGCTGTATCTCTTGGCCTGGTAGAGTCCTGAGTTAGAAAGAAGACAGCATGTGATGGTCCCTGGAAGCTGCGTCCCCTGTGAAGTCCTCCCCCTTGCTCCGAAGACATGTTGTTGTCTCCCAAGTTCTCCTTATCCACCATCCACGTCCGCCTCACTGCCAAAGGACTGCTGCGAAACCTCCGGCTTCCTTCGGGGCTCAGGAAAAGCACTGTCATTTTCCACACAGGTTGGTTGTGCACAGATCGCTGCTCAGAGCTGCGTCGGGGAGGGACGTGCTGATGAGCCCGCGAATGCTTCTCAGATTTCTATGGAGACATAATTGGAGAGAAAGCTCGCTTTACTGAGAGGCTTAACAAACAATAAGCTGTTTCCTCCTGTGTTGAGCGGGAGGGTACTTCTGTTGTGTGGAGGCAGCTGTAGGCTTGTCTGTGTTTATGGATGCAGGGTGGTTGCCTTGGAACTTTCTGCTCTTCTCTGCCACCAAATCTGTAAAGACCAACACCTGTTAATTCACGTCTATCTTCAAATGAGTTTTGGAAATAGGATATGTGCAAATTAAGGTGATTTCTCTTTGCACTGAGGAAGGAGATGGATCGCTGTGGGTTTATTTTGCCATTTTGTCACTGAGATTAATAGATCTCCACATTGCAAACACCCTTAAAACCACCCTGATGTTTGTGGAGGGCCAATAAGCGGACCACAAATTTAGTTTTCCGGTCTTTCTTGTAAAAGCAAATGTGGGCATAAAATATTACCCTTGATGTTTGTGTTTGCAGCTGCTTTTCATTTTTCTGTGCATGATGGAAATCTCCTCAGTGCATCCCTTCAGGCATATGTAAAGCTGTCTGCTCGCGTTCAGATTGCATTGCCTACTGGTACTGCCTCTCACTTTTGCTAACGGTTGTAATGGTGGCAAATTAAGTTGATTTCATTCTGTAATGGCTCAAGTGTGCTTATAGTTTGTTGCGGCTGCTGCTTTAACAGGCTTGCCTCATGGGCATGTGAATGCATGAGTTTTCCATGCCATGTGTGTGTTTCCTGTGTACCTCTTGTTTTTCTGTTGGCTCATTGCCGTCCCTGGTGATTGCTTTCTGCTGGCTGCTTTTCGTTTTCCCAGAGGCACATGCCTTCTCTGGGGGATAATCTTGATTTTTTTTTTTCCCTAGTATCCCTTCCTTGTTTCATAACTCCCCTTGACCTGACATTTAAGCTGGCTGGCCTTTCCTTCTAGCGTTGATGGCTGAAGGTAAAGGAAGGAAGCTGGAGTCAGCTGTGGCTCCTTTCTCAGCACAGATACCTCTGTAATTCCTTCAGCCCTAAAACTAAAGAGGTGGGGACCACGGGTTGAGCTCGGTGTCTGCTGAGGCCTTGACTTTAATTGCCTGCATCCCAACAATAAGACAGATACATGGAAAAGTGAAAACTACAAGTGTGCTTTGTTGATGCTGTTCGTTTTTATAACATATATTTTCATCCTATTCATTCCTCTCCCTCCCCCAGCTTTTCCAGTGCCTCCCCTATTCCCTACCTACACAAATAAGTGTGCTTTAGATCGACAATATTTTCTATGGTCCAAAATAGCCCTAAGTAATTTTAATACTTGTTAAAGTAATGTAGACCTCTGCTCTAAGTTAAAAAGACAGCCAGGGAGCAGGGGGTGATATGATCTAAATACATTATACACACGTATGAAATTACTAAAAGAATAAATGTTCATAGTAATAGAGTCTTTAGGATGCTGTATCATCCTAATGTGGCACTTCCTGCCCTTTCCCCCAGCGCTCTCACTGTCATGGTTTCTTGGTTATTTTTCCTATAGTGCTTTAACCAGACACAGAGGTCTCTCATAGCCCCATTTGTTCTGCAGAATGGAAAGCTTGGTAAATGTTTTATTGCTGGCCTTTTGTAAGGTTAATATATGAGTTTGATGTTGATGTACTTCGTTCTTTCGTGTGTGGGGGTGGTGCTGGGGATGGGACTGGGTCTTGTACCTGCTTAGCTGCCACTGAGCCACACACCCAGCCTTTTCCCCACTCTTTTAATAGTCGAAAAACATTTCATTGCTTGAGTGAACAAAGGTTCGTTTGTTCTACTGGCGTTAGGATTGTTGGGAGCAGACAGCTTGAGCAAAAGGCACGAGACCTTAATGACCAGAGTTTAATTAATGGTGGTGTTTTTGTCATGTCTCATTTTCTGAATTTATACCAGTATTTTAAAATTCACTTGCTGAGTGTCATAATTTTTAGACCTAGAAGGCATGTATCACTGAACAAGCCCACCTTGTTTTACACCGATATGTCTGGGGCGCAGACACATGTAAGCACTGACTTGTTTATGTTCTTAGTGAAGGAAGCACCATTGGTGGCCTTAGTGATGGGGTGATCTGGAGTCTAAGAGTACAGGGGTAAGATGGCATTGGCTCTGCCTGCAACTGTGGGTATGATTACCTGGGCTTCACACTCTGCTCTCCACATGCTCTGCCTTCCAAGTCTCAAATGCCAGGAATTTCCTAGCTTTGGGCTTTAAAACTCTGAACGTCCCATGACGCTACCCTTGGAAGCTAACCTCAGCTCACCACCACCCGAATCCAGTTCACCCCCTTGGCTTATGTCTCTGAATGACATCATGTTTCTTATCTGGCCATCACCGGTGACTCATCTTGTTATTCATCCTCAGTCATCCTCAACAATTGATTATAACAACTTAAGACCCCACCCTTGGAGTCCCTGCTTGTTTTCACTCTGGTCATCTTCCTTCGGGCGCTTAGGATGAAGTTTGCTCTTTTGTTTGTGGTGGGGAGTGTCTGGGGATCGAACCGAGGACCGCATGCTTCCTAAGCAATTGTTTCACCACTGAACTACATCTGCAGGCCTGCTCTTATTTGTCACAGTAACAAAATACCAACCGTGTCCTGTCAGTGCAGCCAGCCTCTGATAGAACTTTCTGGAGGGCTTCATATTTGCCCTGTGCCACCAGCTTCCCCCTGATTCTAACAGGCTTCTCCAACTGCAAGATCAATTCGTTCATGTCACATATGAGTATCTGTTGGGCCTGTGCCATATGCCAGGTACAAGGCTTGGTGCTGAGAAAATATCCTGGCCTAGGTCCCACACAATCCTTTGCCTTCCTTAAACCCATAATTGGATAGGAGAAGGGTAATCATGTCGGGTGTGGCCTGGGCCCTTAGGTGGTTCTTGGCAGGTTCTTGTTACCTTCATCCAGGTGTTCCAGGAGTGTCTTTTACGTCAGCTCTTAGGATAAGTGGAGCTGGCTGAGAAATAAATAAAATGTGCTCCAGGCAGAGAAAAATCGTGTTGAAAGCCTGGAGAGGTGAGGAAGCAGGTGGCTCCTGCAAAGAAAGGAAAGAACTGTAATATTTCTGGGCGAACAGTGAGGTGAGAGAGAGGCTGGGAACAAAGCCCTGGTCAAAGCCTGGGACAAGCACACAGGGCACTGGGCATCGTGGTGAGCTAATATTGACCATGTGTGCCACTGAATTAGGGATGGCTTTTTTTTCTCTCTGTAAATAAGGGCTGGGAGAGAAAGCCACTCTGGCAGGGATCTTGTGCAATGCCGGAAGAAGATGCTGAACATGGATGAAGACTCAGGATGAGGAAGGAACCCTGAAAGTCTGGAATGACCTCACTGATAGTCCCACGTTTCTGTCAAGGGTATTTCTTGGCAAAGTATTAAGCTAAGTTAAGTGTGTTTTGAGTTTTTAATCACAGTACACTGGTCCTAATTTTATGATGACTCACAATAAGGGAAATACATCTTTAAGTATAAATACTGCTTGCCTCTCAGTTCAGTTTTTCTTTTAAGCAGAAATAAAGCTGTACTAATTACTCAGATTGTATTGCTTGATCCTCAAATACTTAATGCTCTCTGGGTCGCATGAGAAGGCAGTTAATCACCCTAAAAATTTTGAGTTATTTTCGCCAGGCTAATGAACTGAAAAAATACGTGCTGTGGTGCTGTGTAGCAATTTCCTCCCCGTTAAAACATTCCCTCCAGTGGGGGACGCTCTAAGACCCAGGAAGTCCCTAAAACTAACCAGATGCGCTAGGTTTCTCCCTCCTCGCGTTTATAGAAGTAGTAAGGACTCAGCAGATGCTCTCAGACAAGCACCGCTGCCTGGAAGAGGCGGAAGCAGCTGAGCTGAATGTCCTAGCAAAGACACTCCCCCACCTACTGAGCTGCCTGTTGGTTGGGCTACGAGCCGCTGGTTCACCGCTGTTATCAGCCATCACCCATGCTGGAGTGGCTTATGGTGATGCAACTGCCTTTTGAGTCATTTGTGGCCCTGCAAGCAACCCCTCCCACCCTTACTCCTCTCAGTAACCTCAGCGAAACCCCATGGGTTCACTGAGTTGGACTTCAGTGGCACCCTTACTTTGATCTGTGCTTGGGGCATGCCCTATCTGGAGTAAGGAGACACACTGTTCATAATATCATATGACATGCAGGCAGCTCTGGGGATGTGGTTGTTGCTAGAATGCTCGCCTGATGTGCAAAGGCCTGATGTGGATCCCAGTGCTGGAGCAGGGGTGGGGTGGGCATAGCTAGCCGTAGAAGTCCTAAGGGAGAGCAAAACAGTGTTAGTACAAGATATGTGTTTACCTGGCAGTACGAAAGAGAACAATTCTGATTACACAGCATGTGAATGAAATCTGTTCAATTACAGTGTAATTCATCAAATTATGCCCTTGTATTGGCTGTTCACATTGAAAAACTGCTTTTAGAAAGAAGTTGAGACAGTTGAGGAAGTGACTGCACCTCCCCCTTGTAGGCGGAGGCGCCTTGCTCGTTTCAGGGCTGCCCAGACCTGAAATAATCACACAGAAACTGTTAATTGCAATACTGTTTGGCCAATAGCTTAAGCGTGTTCCTAGCTAGCTCTTACATCTTAAATTAACTCATTCCTATTGATCTGTGTATCACCACGCGGTTGTGGCCCACCAGGAAGGTACCCTCTGGCATCTGTCTCCAGCAGTGGCTACATGGCGTCTCTCTGACTCCACCTACTCTACGTCTTTTCCAGCCTGGCTATATTCTGTTAAGCCATTGGCCAAAAGCTGCTTCTTTATTAACCAATGGCAGTAGAACGTTAACAGCATACAGAGGGGAATCCGACATGACCCCCTGAGTAGGAGCTATGTTTACTGTGCGTGGCCCTGCAGTCAAGAGAGGTGTCTCTGCTGTGTCTTTCATCCCTTCCCTTATGGGTGCCTTTCTCAGGCAGCAAGCAAAGGAAATGCAGAAGAAGGTGGTTCCAGATCCCTGAAGCCAATCTCTCGAGCTAGGTCTCATTCACACGACTACTCTACCTGAAAGAGAACAGAGAAATGGAGTGCTTGATTCGCTGGTCACTTATGAATGAAGGGAAGAACTGTATTTATAAAATGGAATCTATAACAGACCTTACTGTTTTTTTTTTTGATTCCAAAATAATACAAGTCGGTTTAGGTGTTAAGTATTTGTAATAATCCCACTTGTTTTACTTTGCTTTTCTGTTAGTATAATAGAACTCTGACCAAAACCACCCTTGGGAGCAAATGATTTATTGGTTTACAAGTTAGAGTTCACCACCAAGGGAAGTCAGGGCAGAAACCTGGAGGTAAGAACTGAAGCAGAGACCATGGAGGAACATGGCTTACTGTCTTGCTTTCCCTGGCTTGCCAACATCTACCTTGTTTATACAAGCCAGGCCAACTTGTCAAGCGTTGGAGCGGCCGACAGTGAACTGGGATAGTTGTATCAATTAGCAATTGATGTAAACTGTGGTTTGTCTGTCCCAAAGCTGCTTTTAAATTCAGAGGGTTAATATTAATTATTACAAAATGCTTGGCTGGAACAGCTCAGGCTTACTCCTAACTAGCTCTTACCTTTTTTGTTTGTTTTGTTTTTTGTCTTTGTTTTTCAATGCAGGATTTCTCTGTAGCTTTGGTGCCTGTCCTGGAACTCACTCTGTAGACCAGGTTGACCTCAAACTCACAGATATCAGCCTGCCTCTGCCTCCCAAGTGCTGGGATTAAAGGCATGTACCACCACCACCACCCGGCCTACTAGCAAATTATCTTTAAATTAACCCATTTCTATTAATCTATGCTTTCCCACTTGTCTCGTGGCTTTACCTGTGTTCTAACATGTCTTCTGTGGGAGCTGGCTGGCATCTTCTCAACTCCACCCTTCCTTCTCCCTGTATTCAGTTTGACTTTTCCACATTGCTATATTCTGCCTTGCTATAGGCCAAAGCAGCTTTTATATTATCAACCAATAAGAGCAACATATATTCACAGTATATAGAAGGATTATCCCACAGTAAGAAAATGCCCCACAGACATGCCCCTAGGCTGATCTGATGGAGGTAATTCCTCATTAAGGGTCCTTCTTCCCAGGTGACCCTAGTTTGTGTCAAGTTGACAAAAACTATTTTCAGATTTCAAGCTATTTTGTTATTGGACAAAGTCTTAATGTTTGACCATAGTTACTTGAAATACTTTCCATTTTAAAATAACACACTGAGAAAAGTATTGTGCATTTCAGATGTGTCTTTTATGCCCTTAATATTTTACTAGTGGAACATTTATGGTGGCTATTCGTGTACTTTTAAGATAAATGTTTTCCTCAAACACCAAAATAGGTATCAATGAAGCCATTACAGTTTCCATAATATATACATATATACACATTATGATATGTGTATATGTATGTATGTACGTACGTATGCATACATACATCAATTTTTATGTAAAAAAGAGGGTTATTGTAGAGTTCATAAAAGGCCAGACCGAAGGATAACAGATCAGTGATGTAGCGCTACCATATTTTATTGTTTTAATGTCTATCTGCATCTTCTTTTTGCTTCCTTGAAGAAGCCATCTTGATGACCTCACTGACCGCTGAGCACGTTGACGGTTACTTTCCAAGAGCATAGAGAATCACTATTAAAATAACGTGTAATGCCTGGGTTGTGGTGCATGCCTTTAATCCTGGCACCCAGCAGACAGAGGCAGGTAGTGAGTTCAAGGCCAGCTTGGTCTGCATTGGAAGGTCCGGGACAGACAGAGCTACATAGAATACAAACAGACAAAACACGCTAATAATATGTGCTCTGTCACTTTAAAGGATATTTTAGAGCTAATTTACTAGCAGTGTGTGCAGAGCTAAGCATGGTGGCATACGTCTGCAATCTTAGCACTTGGGAGAATGAGGTAGTATTGAGAGATAACCATCAGCTTGTGCTATAGCAAGACCCCTTCTCCTCTCCCACCCAAAACAAAAATAGTGTGTGCACACTGCTTGTGATCTGAGGTCAAAAGACAGCAGTTGGAATTTTAATACTCTTTTCTGCTGTACTTTTGATTAACTTGGAAGCCCTTATCTGTGATTATGTAGCTCTGGGGAAAATTAATACTAAGAACTCTTTTAAGTACTGTATTAGTTACTTTTCCATTGTTTTGATAAAATACCACGACCAAGGCAACTTTTAACAGAAGGGTTTCATTGAACTTATGGCTACAGAGAGTAGAGACAGCAGAGTGAAGACATGGTATCAGGTGGCTGGCTGAAGCACTGGGTTCAATCCCCACTATAGAAACCATGCATGGTATCACATGACTGCCATCCTAGTATTCTGGAAAAGGAGGCAGGGGAATTGCAAACTCAGTCATCTTCGAATATGTAGAGAACTCTATGATTAAGCTAATGTTTCCTGACATAAGTGATGATTTAAAATTTTTTGATAAGGTTGCATAGATTACCACCACTGCTAAATTGAGAAAACCAGATTGTGTGCCTAGTCCTGTGTGTTGGGGGCAGTCTCCAGGCGATCTTTAGGCTTGATTGCACCTTGGGAGAATTACATGGCAGGTGATTAATCGGAAGAACAGGTGTGTCTAGGACGGACTAATTTTGGAGATTCGAGAGCAGGGTGTGAGAGAAGGTTCTAACACCTTCCCCACAAGCCACTCCACACTCCTCCCCTCCTGCCCTTGCCCCCATTCTGCCTGTCAGCCTGACAGTTCCCAGGCGGATGCCTGGCCTTTACTGGTTGTCTCTTGCTCTGCCTTGTAAACCCATTCTCTCCTGCCTGTCCTCACTGTCATGGACCCGGGATCTGTTGTTCTTGGGTCTCCCTCCTGGCTTCTCTGCCTCTCTGGTGTTGCCCCTTTAGGTCTTCCTCCCCTTCACAGCATTGCTTTCTGTTTCCTGCATGATAAAGTCTTGCACCATGCCCGTGCCCTCACTCCTGTTTATATTCCCAGCAGCTTCATTTTACTTTGGCTGGGACTGACAATTGTGTCGAGCTGCACAGGCCTTGGGGGCTTCAAGTCATGCCTTTGTGTATGTGTTTCTGGCTCTATTTTCAGTTTCTGGCTACCTCCTTTACTTATCCATCTGTCTCATGGACAGATTTGGTTAAAACTCTGCCCCTGCACCTAGGACATTCTCAACATGCACTCCCACCCCACTGTGTGTCCATGATTCCAGCATCTTATTATCATATTATATCATGTCATATATCATACTTTCAAGACTGGTGACATACTTCTGTCTGTTGCACAGGTTTCTTAAAAACCAGGACCAGTTTGTTAGGATGCATTCCATAGACGGCTATAGAATGAACAGCATGGCGTATCTGGATGCTCATCTATATTAGAAAACATATTTTTTCATTGATTCTCATTATAATACTCTAGTTTCATGGAGTGTTGTCTGACAAAAATCCCATCAAATGCCAAGGAGACACCAACTGCGAAAACAAATACTTGGTATCCCTGTTGGAACTTTCAGATGTGGGATTGAGAAAAGTGAAGAAAGATGGAAATTGTCTGGCTGTCTATGGCTGAATGCTCATAGGCATTCAGGTTGTCTTCCTGCATCCCAGAGCAGTGCTATCCTCTGCGATGAGCCCTGCTGGGTCCCCAATACCTCCCCTCCCCCATCCCTGGTTACCCCTGTTGTAGTGGGTGGTAATGAGTGGTAGTGAGTGGGCCAGCACTTATGGAAAAATAGATTCATCCATAGGTAGTTTTTGTGCTTCATGGAACTCTGGACACTTTCTTATGGGTCTTTTCTCTGAGATTTAACAACTTGGGAATCAAGCAGATTCTATAAATGCATGGCTTGTTCTGTGTAATGGTTCGGCTCTGAGTCTGAATTTAAGCCCCCCTCTAAAGGTATTTAATTAATGAGATGGGCATTCATCTAACGGAGCAACTTATTTTTCTGTAAGATGATAAATTAAAGCTTTGGACTAGTTATTTAGCTGTTTTACAAGTGAGCAGATTTTTTTTAATTCTTTCTCATTTTTTTCTTTTCTTGAAAATAGATTCTTTGCTCATACAGAATACACCAATTATAGGTCTCTCCGCCTCCACAGTCCTCCCCATTTTCCCCACCTCCCTTCCTCTCTGGATCCACTCCATTCCCATTCTTATTAGAAAAGAATAGGCTTCTAAGAGATAACAACAATGTGACAGAACATAATAGAATAAAACGAAATGAAAGCATATTAAGTTGGACACAGCAACTCAACAGGAGGAAATGAGTCTCAAGAGCAGGCACAAGAGTCGGAGACTCACTCATTCTCACAGTTGGAGTCCCACAAGAATACTAAGTTGATTGTAATAATATTAAACACAAAGGACCTGATGTAGACCCCTGTGGGTCCCAGGCTTGCTAATTTAATCTCTGTGAGCTCATATGTACCTTGCTTAGTTGATTCAGAGGTCATGTTCTCTTGGTATCTTTCATCCCCTCTGGCTCTTAAAATCCTTCTGCCTCCTTTTCCTTGATGGTGGGGGGTTCCCTGATCTCTGAGAGGAGGGATTTGGTGGAGACCTCTCATTTAGACTCTCTCTGTGCGTAGTGTCTGACTGTGTGTCTCTGCATATGTTCTATTTCTGCTCCCAGAGAAAGCCTCTCTAATGATGACTGGATCAGACACTGATCTATAAGGATAGCAGAATATTGCTAGGAGTCATTTTCTTGATACTTTTTTTTTTTTAAAAAAAAAGATCAGCCATGTTTGG